AACTTGTGCCTTCTCTGGGCTATTCTCTGGCCTCTCCAGTATCTTAATGGCAACATCCTCTCCATTATATGTGCCTCTGTATAACTTTCCAAATGCCCCTTGGGCAAAAGCCGTACCCATATTAAGTTTTCTCAAATCAATAGTCCATTCATCATAATTCTCCAATCCCTGAGTTGGAAACCTACTATCCATTAATGCTTGTGCCAATGCATCATCATTAAGGGCATGGGTAACCTTACCTGGACGAAACACGCTCTGACCAACATTGGAAACAGAGTAATTGTGGCGGTTCACAGGCTTTAGACCTGGGTGGCTTAACATATGGGTTAGAGAATCATTAGATCCAACGCTACTGTTGTCCACTGACATTGAGACAGACCCACCAGCATTACTTGTTTGCAAACTCTCAATGGACATATTTGTACCCTCACCAAGCTTTTGGTAAAACCCTTGAGTGAAATTATAGTAATTATTGTCGTCATTGTTTTCTCCCCCCATAAATCCAGTAAATTTAGGCCCCTCCACCATTTTCCCAATCATATGGAATGACCAACTAGAACAAAAGACAAGCACTTCTCCTCAGCCCAAACTCTAGACACTTATCCAATGGTGCAGCAATCTCTTCAGAATGTACCCTAAAAGCAACAAAGACAAAACCCTCAACAAGTTAGAATTTGAGATTAAACCCTAAAAGTCAGTTACCAATTTTTTGTCTCCTGGCACCACCTGGACGTCCTTTGACCTCAATTTTATTGCCAACAAATTCAGCTCCCGTAAAAATAAAAAGGAATAACAGATTAGAGTACATATAGAAAGAGTTTCCCTCGCCAAGGAAGTCTTATACTACGTTTAGTCAAGTTTCAACAATTAAGACATCAATGGATCCCATGCTTAGACATCTAAAAAATTTCCTTAAAAACGTGACCTTCCAGAGATTAATTGGAAACAATCTCCAGAATCCCCTGTCAAAGTCCATGTATGGGTTTTAATGTTTTGAACAACAAAATAGGTTTTGTCTTCAAAGTCCAAACACTTCTTCATGCCTCCAGCATTGAACAATAGAATAAAAATAATTCTGATTTCATTATGAAAAATGAGTTCCTTTCAAAACCCTAGAGATAAAAATCATCCCAATCCCAGGCTCTTCAAACTCATTTTAGGAGCCCAGCATCCAACAAATGCACAGAGAGCAACCAATAAAAACTCAAAGGATGCTTAATGGCACGGAGGCACAGAAGGCCAAAACAAAAAATTTCTTCATTAAAATTTCTCAAAAGCCATAACAGGAAAACAAAAAGGGTAAAAAAATTAAAATTCCCTCTAAGAAAACCCGTTTTCTTACAGAGACAATGCAGGGAAATAAAAGGAGACATAATATTCAGCTAGAATCGAATGATTATAGCAAACAAAGCAACACAGAATAAGAAATTCCATAGTTCCCAAACAAAAAAATCAAGTCCCCTTCAGTCAAATCTCCTCTGCAAATCCCACATCCTTCCTAATCGAAACAATCCATCTAAAAATAGTAAAAAAAAAACTCAAAAATAGAAATACAATAATAGAAGCACAGATCAGATTACGTTAATGCTACAAAATCAAATTAATCAGGTAAAATTGCAGGAAAAGACCTAAATTTTCACGAAAAGAATCGATCCAGATAGCTGATTTTAGAGGAAACGAGATGAAATGCGTACCTGAAAATTTACATAGAGGCGGCAGAGGGAGTCGGGATAGTCGGCGATCGAGATGGTTGACTCGATGATTTCGCGAAGAGAAGAGAAGCAGAAGAAGAAGAAGAAGAAGACTAAGAAAGAAGATTAGGAAGAGGCAAAGTTAAAACAACGAAGGAGAGACGAAGAGGGGTAGGAGGAAGAAGAGGAAGAAGAAGAAGAAGAAGAAGAAGGAGAAGGAGAAGAAGGGAGGAGCAGTCTACGCTTCGCATTTACTTTCAAAGCCTCATGTTTATTGTAATAGGACAGACTGTTGTGTTGCTCGCGAGTATCATCTCTACTTCACTCGCTATATCTGTTGTACACGTGTCTCTGATATTTTATTTTTAAAAACAAATTTCTCATTTTTCGAGGTACTCCATCCTGTAAAAACGCGTGCCCGTGCGTGGAGTACATGTTCTTTATTTTTATTTTTTATTTTTTTTTGTAAATACCGACTGATATTTATATTTTTTTTTTAGGTTGGATTACCTTTGAAAATATAGTTTTATTAATATTACAATAATTAAAATATTATTAAAAAATAATACAAGATAAAGATTTGTTAAAGATATTTTATAAAAGATATTTTAAAAAATTTATAAAAAATAATATATAATCTAAATTATATTAAATTACAAAGTATTTAATATTAAAAAATTTTATATTTAATCATTTTTATTTTATAATTTAAACCATATAATGAGATGTTTGACTAAAATTAAATCAAAGCCACAAACAAAGCTTGACTAAAATTAAATGAAACGCCAAGATCAAAAATAAATAAATGAAGGGCCAAAAATTTTTTTGGGTCCAATTGATT